ATATAATTGTTTCACACTGATATTAAATTAAAAAATTAAACACTTAATTCTCCCTTCAAAGTAACCCCAATTTGTTTGATTTCAAAAGTTTTTGATTAATGAGTTACTGTAGATATATAAAATGCTGACATACTGGGGTCAGATATTTTCAAACGAAAAAAAAATTAAGATAAATTGAAAGAAATTTAGGTGTCTCGAAATTGTCCTAAAGTTAATTTTTTTGTCAAAAACATAACATATAAATTTGTTTATTATTTTATTTTATTAAATATCAAACAAATTTTAGTCGCTAAATTAAAAAAAAAACTGTAACAGTAAAAGTATATAAAGAAGTGAAAATCTTTGTTCTTCAGGAATTTAAAAGCCTTAATTTTCTTTAAGTAGACATTAAATATCAAAAGTATTATTTTTTGAGGCTATTTGTGAATCACATTGATTATCCATCTATAAGATAAGCTATTTATGCTAGTTCCAGGTTTGTTTCAAGTTTTCATCCAGATTCAGAATTAATTTAAGGTTTTTACGTCGATTCTAAGTTAGGTTAGGTTTTTATGTTGATTAAAGGTTAGTTTAAGGTTATTATTTAGGTTCCTAGTTAGTTTAAGATTTTTTTGGTAGATTCCAGGATAGTTTAAAACTTTCATCTAGATACTTGGTAACTTTAAGATAGACCTGTAGATTCTAAGAGATGGAATGTTAAATTTCATTATAACTTTTTTTTACGTTTTAGATACAAAAAATTAAAATTCAAGTTTTCACTAAGATTCCGGGTAAGTTTAAGGTTTTTATGTAGATTAAAGTTTAGTTTAAGGTTATCATACAGATTCTTAGTAAGTTTTAAGATTTTTAGGTGGATTCCTGATTAGTTTAAAATTTTTATATAGATTCCTTCCTGGTCAGTTTAATATTTTCATGTGAGATCCTGGTTAATTTCATTTTTTCATGTGTATTCCTTGTTAGTTTAATATTTTTATGTGGATTCTTGGTTAATTTAAGATTTTCATGAGGATTCCTGATTAGCTTAAGATTTTCATATAGATTCCTGGTTCCTTTAATATTTTCATTCATGTAGAATCTGGGAGATGAAATGTCAATTTTCATTATAACGTTTTTTACTCGTACTTTACATCAAAGCGTTGCATTTTTTTAAACTTGAACATTAAATCTGTTTTATATTATTTTTTTTATAAAACAAAAACATATAACTTACGTTATAGATATAAAAAGGAAAATTCAAGATCAGTTAGGGAGTCTTTAAAATTTCGATATGGCTAAAAGGTTTTGGTGAATATTTAACCACAGTAACAGCGTTAATTTTCTTCAAATTTTGAATTTGGAAGGAAAAAAAATTCTCGTACACCCTAGTACTTAGTATTTTGTTCCTTAATCAAATATACAATTTATAAATTAATGTCTAAATATATAAATGGATATCTCTTTAATGAAGGTTAGAAAAATATAGTGTTTTTTTTTAAATGTACATCTTTTTTTTAATCCATTTAATTAAAAAAGAAAACATTTAGTCACTCAAAACCACAGTCAGTGTAATTCAAACGAAAAAAAAAAGTTCCAGCCAATCCCAATTATTGCGGAATACGCCTAAGTTGTCATCATAAACATAAGGTTGAGCGTACAAAAAATCATTGAAACAGATCAAAGAAAATTCGTTCTTTTTAAAGAAGTTTCGAAGAAAAGCAATTTCATTTTAAGAGGAACACCCCTTACCAGATGACGAATCCGTTACTTTGTAACGGCACATCCACACCATGAGTTATTTAACGCCCAATAATTCCGAGCAACTAATTGAAGACATTAGGAGCGGTGAACAGCACTTGCCGACTACATATTAGAAAAAGAAGGAAAAAATGATGAAGAGCAGAAGAAAAAAGATGAAGAAAATCGTCGTCTCTAATTTTCGGCACTTTACTCCCTGTGTACACCGAATAAAGTTAGAAAAGATTGAGGGATAATATACTAAATAAATATTTTTAATTTAAGGTATCTGACTAGTGCACAAATATTATTTTGGGCAAAATTTTTGAAATTGAGTCCATTCTAAAGTTAGAATCCCTGTACTTTTAGCTTTCGAAAAATACTTTGATTTTGTTTGTACTGAATATATTTACTAAGTTTTCAGCAGTTTTGGTTCAAGGTGATGACAGTGCATAGACTATTGATTTTAAGTCTTTAAATGTGCTTATCACAAAATCAGATTTTCTCACATTTTACATCTTAAACACGATATCTCCTGTTTTTTTTTTTTTTTTTTTTTTTTTTTTTTTTTTTTTTTTTNTTTTTTTTTTTTTTTTTTAATAATTGTCTACAATTTTTCGTGAGTGTTTATGATTAAAGTACAGATGTTTTGTACTACAGACTAAAAGAAAAAAGTAAAATTTCATTTTTTATGCATGTTCTTTCGCAAAGACGAGTGCAGAAAATTTTTAAAAATTTACTTTTTTAATTACATTGATCCCGAACTCAGTCGTATATGCACTTGTTTTAAAGATAATGGTTCAAAAAATAGTTGACAGCCTTCTAAATAAAACCCTCAAAGGTTTTTTGTTTGTTTTAGGTGATGGAAATTTTTTTACAGTGTTTATCGTATATACAAAAACAAGCCTTATTTTTACCTAAAAATGGCCATATAAAAATAAAAGTAATAATAATAATAATTTTTTGTTGGTTTTACAAGTTTTTACTCATAATAAAACAAATAAACTAGTTTTTTAAAATTTTTATATTAATATTTAAAAAACATGTGGAAACAAGTTTGATAACTTAAGACTATGATAGAAATGACATATTTCTGAATGGTGTCTATAGGTTAAAAAATAATTATTAATATCATAACTTTTAATGAATAGATTTTGATTTAAATTGAAATTGAAGAGTAAGTTCATGATTTTAAATGACTTGATGAATCGACAAATTTATATAATTTAAATAACTAAAATAAAATAACTCTCCGATGCTTGAAATAATTATTTTAAACAATTTTACGAACTAAATAATTTAATCAGGTTAAAAAAACATATATGATACGCTTTGGTCTAATTATCGGTTAATATTAATATCCGCTAATAATAACCGGCTATAGTTAATAATAACAGCAGGTTAATATTAATAAACAGATTTATGACTTTAGTTATTAAATATGTATAAAAACAAATATCTCTATTAGAAATTTTTTTATTTATATTGTAGCGTTAAGTGAATAAATTTTGATTTAAATAGGAAAAGTTAATTCATAATTCGAAATAACATATTAAATTGATAGGTAATAAACTAACCTTGATTTATTCATTTTAGATGTAAAATAAACTTCTTTAAGCTAAAACAACAAATTATTTTATGTAATCTTATGAACTAAATAATTCAATCAAATTAAAAAATAGTAATATCCACCTGTTATTATCAATAAAAACTAGCTTTTATTAATTAAAGACCGGTAATTATTAATAATAATCAAATTAAGTACTTTAACCGTAACATTATGTATTACAAATACTTTTAGATGTTTCTGTAAGGCATCTATCAGTAAAAGGTTAATTTATATGGTAACTTTTAATGAATAAATTTAGATTTTAGTTGGAATCGAAAAAATTCGTTCATAATTTTAAATAATTTATTTAATGGATAGGTTATGCACTAACATCGATTTTAATGTTTTAAATCGATGTTAGTGTATAACCTATACATTCTATTCTGTACTGTATTGTATTGCATTGTATTGTATTGTATTGTATTGTATTGTATTGCATTACATTGCATTGCATTGCATTGCATTGTATTGTATTGTATTGTATTGTATTGTATTGTATTGTATTGTATTGTATTGTACCGTACTGTACAGTACGGTACAGTACTGTGCTATAATGAACTGTATTGTATGGTATTGCATCTCATTACATTGATTACGTTACATAATAAAGATTAAAATTTGGTATTTTAAAAATAAATGAGAATAAAAGTATAAATTATTTTAAATTTTCATCCACCATTGAACTCAAATAAGTTTTCACATTAAACTTAGAAAGGACACCATTGTGGTTACTTTAATCAAAAGTCATAGGCATCTAGACAAAGAATGTTAGGCTCACGGTTTTTGAAAATTAATAACAGGACATGTTAAAAAAAATAAAAAATACAAAAAAAATTAAAGTGAAATGTGACAGGTGTTTGGAATTTTTCCTCTCAGAATCTCACGTTTTGAATCTAAAGTTTTTAACAAATTAACAGTGTTTAAATTAAAGAAAATTACTTAAAGATCACAAATTTGAAAATTTCGAAATATTTAATGAGTAAAAAGGACGTTATAAATTTTCCTAAATTTTCATCATTAGTCGTAAATAAAAAACATTCCGAAAATGAAGCAATTGTGTAATGCTCGAACCCACTATCATAAACACTCATGTTAGATAAGAAAACAACGCAGGCGTCAAGAAGAAACTTTGAAAGAATTCACACCGCCATCTGCCAAAAAATATTGCAACTGAAACTTAAAGTCTGGGAAAAAATTATATGGTCTGCCACATAAAGTTGTTAAAGAATTAAATTTTTTTTTTTAAAATCTTAACCACTTTTGAGTTATAAAGTTATGAAAAATCATTCATCTAATTTGGAACACTCTGTAAACATATTAAAACTATGCGCAAATTCGTACTAACTCAATCTATCTACATCAAACCATGCTCTCGTTTGCTGCTGTTAATAATTGCTTATTCAATGCATCAATTCGGCTGTCTGAATTCAACCTCTCAATTTATGATTTGTAAATTGGTTATTAACGGTTAGTCCCTACATTTTACTTATACAGAAGAAAGATTAACACTAAAGGTGAAGAGACTGTGAAATCAAATAAGTACACCAGCCAATGCAATATGGATTGCATAATACAATAACAACCTTTTTATTAAGGAACGGTTTATAAAATAAATGTCTCTTTCAAGAGTTTTACTGTAGTTTCAATATAAACATCGCAATAGCACACATTCACCCACCCTTAGCAAGCACAATTACAATCTTTGCACGTCCCATTTCTTGCACCAATAAACCTGACCCACGACCACAAAAAGACCAATCCTCTCTAGATATCATTTTTAATTCCCCAGTCATGAACAGACGTGAAAGGTTATGAAGATCTAAATTTTGATCTGACTCCCATAATTTAATAATATCCCCTTTTCCCCTTACATTGGAAACAAAACATTCGATATCGTCTGTACAAGCATTTACAAATTAATCGTGCCGTCGCCCTTTTAGATCAAAGTTCTCCAAATATTGTCCCGATAATCGTAATTACCGACTTTGCTTTGATAAAGAGAGCGATTGCAAAAGATACGGTGATACCCTGAACACCCAATTAGGGGTCAAGAGGTTAAGGGGCCCTTGCCCCGCCTTTGGGGATGCCGTCATGGGCGGGAATCATCTCTATTCCAGCAGAAAAGGTGCGGGATGACCCTGTGTTAGGTAAAATTTGTTTCCGTGAGGTTGTGATGTTTACCCCGCAGCCCGATGAAGACATTGTTTCTGGTATGATTTATCAGTGAAAATTTTATGATCAACTGATAACGCACGAAATGTGGCCTTAATTGGTTCTTAATTAATTGTACATAGAAATTAGTCCAACCTTTTGTTTTCTAAGTATTTGGAACGGTATTACCAAGTTGGTGATTAATTTCTTGGGGAGATGGGTATCTCTTTTTATTTTCCTGCTTCTGCGGTCATTATTAAATCAGTTTAGAAACTGCTCTTGAATTTTGCTAAGTATTAAATAAATTTACCGTATTAATTATAAGTTATTTCGAAAAAAGTGGTAATCAAGTAGTAATTATAAAACGCTTTTAAACTCATATTATGATAATGATTATTTCATTAACAGTTTCGTAATATTGTCGCAATGTCAAAGGATCGGGTTACTTCATAAAATCAGGTTTCTTATCGCTTTGTTAGTTCTGTATTCTGAATTCTCCAAAAGATATGCTTTTTTTCTCATTCTTATAATTTTTAACACACTTCGCTTCAAAAGTTTCAGTGAGCTCAAAATAATAATGTGAGATAAAAAAATTTTGAGGTACATAAATTCTTAAATTTTTCTAAGATTTTTCTTAGATTTTTTAAAGCATAGTAAAATGAAATAAATTAATTACAAATACTTCACCTAAGGATATTTCATTAAAAATTACGTACTGCTGTCAAGCAAAGTATTTAAAAGTTCCAATTACGCCATANTATATATATATATATATATATATATATATATATAAAGTTATAATAATCATAATCATTATAATTATCATAAGTTATATAAGATGTAAACAGTAATAAAATTATAAATAACCTAGAATTGAATTGAAACGAAAATTAATACATGGTTTTGTACAAAACAATTTTGCCGAATGGGCTAAACGATATTTTCCAACATACACAGATAAATCTTATTAACTCCTCAACTTACTCCCTTTTTAACCTTAAAGATAAGCGTACAAATCGAGGTAAACGGAGATCAGGAAGTAATAAAACTCTCTTAATAGTGACAAATTAAATGTAAATTTTATTTCTAATATTGAAAAAGATTTTAATAAACATTATAATATTAAACCGATGAAAGATTTTGTTTACTCCCTTAAGAATAATGTTTTATATAAGCTTCAAGATCTTATTAATAACTTTTCTTTCATTAATTTACACTTAAAAATTTTTGTTTCGATCTTGTAAAAACTAAAATGAGTAAAATTTCACCAAATAAAGAGAAAAATTTAAATAATTTACATTAACTTACATAACTTACGTGATTAACTTACTTAACCCTATTTTCGGTAAGATTAAATTTCATAATATTTCTTAAAATTTAAAAAAATTGCTAAAATATTTTAGCATAATTAAAAGCTTTAAATATAATGAATCTCTCAGTAGAGCTATTTTTAATTATAATGATATTTTATTTTAAGAAAATTACATTTTATAAAATTTAGTGAAAATGTATATATTGATTATGAATGTCACTATGAAGAAGATAAATATTTTGAATTTGTTGATAAACGTCATAAACATATCATTACTGGTAATTTAAATATTAAAAAAAACTTAGAATTCAATTTAATGATAAAAGGCAAGAAAATTTAGACCCATTTAAAATGTATCAATTAATAAAACTCAAAAATACTCTCTTAATGTTCTCAATAATTTTCGTTTAAAGATATCTAATAGATTCTCTTTACCATTAGGTATGTTAATAGAATGGAAATGAGCTGTTTATTATTGCTTTAAAAATTTTGTTTTCTATAATAAGGAAAATTAATAATAACAGTAACAACTCAACACATTTTTCTAAAATTAAGAAAGCATGTGGAAATCAAAAGCAATGACTGCTAAAAAAAAAAAAAAAGAAAGAAAGAAGGAAAAGAAAAGTAAGTGAAACATCGAATTTATTTAGCGCAAATCGAGATAGCGTTCAGAAAGTTATTACTGAATTCCGTTTATCGTAATAATATCGGCATTTTAAAAGCTATGAGAAAATCAATTGCATTAACTGGAGAAAAGAAAAAAGAAAACGGGACAGTCGAAAACATAGACTTACGATGGTATCGAGGGCGTTGAAAAGTGATTACTGAAATGCGCGATTCGTATTATACATAAATTCGACCTGTTTGTAACTAAATAAAAAGGGTAGAAGCAAATCACATGAATTAAATAATTCTTTTGTTACAAATTGGTATTTGCTACGAAATTGCTATTCATTAAAATACAAGTTTAAGAAAAAAAATTAGAAAAAACACAAGTTTTTCTAGTGAACGATCTTTTACGGAATTCCTTTTAGACTATTAATTTTATACTTTTGCGTTAACCTCAGTAGTTCCATAAATTTATCCCGAGTGGTTACGGAATTTTTTCTCTCTAAGAAATCTGAAAAAAAAAAAAAAAACTGTTATTGGACATAATTGAGAACTTAGGAGGAAAAGTAGAGGGAAAAACTGGTAAGGGCAAAATAAATGTCCCGATAACGAAATTTTGCATAAATAACGAAATTGATATTTTTGATTAGCAGAACTCCGAGAAAATGTTATCCGAATTGATTCGAAGAAGTTCGAGAATCAACGGTGTTGATATTCGCGGAAATCAGCGAATTAGTGGAAGAATCACTTGAATGAAACTAATATGCTATTAGTCTCAAAACTGTTGAAAAGAAAATATCAAAAAACAGATTTATTGTGTTTTTATGTAATTCTCGATAAACAGTTAAAAATTTCAACAAAAAGCTTCTTTTCTGGAGCATAAAGCTATGATAAATAATAAAAAAAAAACTTTTGACCAATTTATTCTTAAACAACAACTATTAATAATTTTACACAATATTTAAAAAATTTTCAATTTAAAATAAATGTTAAACATCATCTTACATCCTTAATTTATCTAACGCCCTCAAAGAAATTTTTTGAAAAAGAGAAATTAAATAATACTTTACACTTTAATTCTTTGAATATTATTCCTGAGATTTCAAAATAAAAATAAAGAGTGACTTTTTTGATAGCATTAATTTCTATAATGTGTCAGATTTTATTATTTAGTTTGTGATGTTGGGTAATTTTATATATAATATTTCTGCATTTAACTATACAAACATTAAAAAGTATTACATTTTTCCTAAAACATTGTTTGGCGAAATAAGCAAATACCAAAAATTAACCTGATTCACTCAGCTAACCCAAAACATGATTTGTAGAAAGAATTGTATTTGCCTACCCTGCAAACAAGCAAACTTCGCTTATAAAATCAAATATTTCTTTGCATTCCCACTTGAAAAAAAAATAGGAAAAAGAAATATAAACAATCCCGGAGAGTTTCCCGAAAACAAAACGCGATTCAAAACGAAAATAAATGCATCATATTTCTTTTCTCTATGAAAAAAAAAAGCGGAGAAAAAGAAGCAAAATCTATCATCCCGATCGATTTCAAGCTCTACGTTACAAATGCAGTTAAAAGAACAAATTTTTAAGATCTTAACGTAGAAAATTCCATGTCCAAATCAGCTTAATAAGCCTTGTAGGAGTGTTATCAAGATGTCCCGATAATGACACGTAGTGTCCCTCATTAATTTTAAGCTCAACGAAAATTAATAATAGAAAAAAAGTTATATCCATTTTTTTTATCGTTGAGCCTCGTTATATTTTCATTGATCAACTACTTTTCCCGAAGAAAAATCTAGCAAAAGAGGAAACAGAATCGAACTAAATTGGGATTTGTCTTGACTTTTTAAAATTTCTAGATTTTTCTTTTGAAAGAAAAAAAGAAACTTCATTATTCGTTCATCAGTTTCTATCGCGATATTTTCTTGATCTGGAATCGTACGATGATGTTCACAATTATCAGTTTAAGTGGGTGGAATTGGAAATGAATTCCATCTGCTATTCTGACATGGAACCAGCGTAATTGCCCTTTTAACTATCTGCAATTAATCAATCCAGTGAAGCGAATTGCTTTACATTTGTCGACAGGAGTCGTGTTTTACCGCCAATAATTGGAAAACAATAGTTTTGAAAAATATGCGGATAATGAGGAATATATATCTTTCGGGATGACTGGATTTATTCAGGAAATAAACAGGATAAAAAAAAATTGTTGAAAACTTAAATGCAAAATAATTTCTTTTTGATGGTAAAGAAATGGAGAAAAGAAAACAATGAACTAATCATTAGTCACTAGGTTCTGTTATAATAAGAATTTGTTCAAACGTCAAAATTTGCAATTATTCCGTTCTGAATGACATTAGTCGACGCATTAAATGTTACTAGGTCTAAGTCAGTCTGTGTATTAATTGATAAAAACCAGTAGTTATTGAATACATAGACATAAGATTCAAGTCACAGATTGACTGATCCAATTAAACTCAGAATAATTTCTTTTGGATGATAAGTAAAGAAATGGGGGGAAAAACAACGAAATAACTGAATAGTTTTTTTTAAATAACAGTTTTGATATAATAAGAATTTCTTCAAATGTCAAAATTTGTTCTTATTCCGAATTGAATGATATTAGCTAGTCGACGCATTAAATGTCTCTAGGTCTAAGTCAGTATGTGTATTAATTGATAAAAACCA